CGCCGCGTCCCCCGGAGCCGTGGAAAAAAGGAACCGCCTTTTTTCTTGAACTCCGAAAACCCTGGTGCAATGGGACAGAGGAAATCAAGGCTGTTTTACTACCGCCTCCTAAAAGCCGTACTTGACACCCTTCTGCCCCAAGGAGAGCGCACCACTCTCCCGCCCTTTTCCGAGACAGAGCTACGCGTATCGGTGCTCTGCAGAACACCCCCAGCGGCACCGTTTGAACCGCACGCCTTCGGCCACCCAGGATCGGAGGTTATCAGGCAGCAAATCCTCCCCCGGTTCCTTCCCCCTCCCGAGGTGGCACCAATGTTATCTTTACCTTCCACATTCTTTACTTTGAAACAGGCCAGCACTGACTTGCAGCATCCTGCGACCTGTGAAGCAGAAAACGATAAGCAGACCCAATAGAGCGTTCGCTACCATGGTAAACAGATTCTGCAGTTCTGGTGGTAAGAAAGTGCTTTTTCCGCCTCCCCCTTCAAAGAATTGACAAGTTGAAAGCAGGTCCTTGTTTGTTTTAACTTGCCTGGTACTTCATTGGCTTCCACCCAGACAACTCCTACCTTACACCTTTGATGTGGATAGTGATGTGCTCCGTTTCCAGAGGAGATGGTTATTGTTCCAGGTGTCTTGTTCTCTCAAACAGCTTAATAATTTCCTAGCTGCCTAGCCACGAAGGATCCCTGCTAAACTCACAGTTTTTAACAGGGTTTATTCTGACCTGTAAAACCAGGTGGCCTTATCCCCCACCCAAGCTTCTCAGCACCCCGAAGCCATCCAACACACCCCAGAAAACACATCTGACAGAAATACTTAGAAAACCACAAATTATTTGGTGTTTGCATGTTACTTTTGGCCATGTAAAACTGAAAGAACACCATTCCCATCTTCCAAATTGAGGAGGGGTTCTTCTCAAGATTTTAAATCACTTCTTTTGCCCAGTCTTGTATTTAGACCACACCATTTTACAACTAAGTTTTTCAGGATAACTAGTATTTAATTGAACTCTATTTTTGCACTGTTGCCACTTTTCTGGAAAAAAAAAATTTACACTTTTAAAAAAATAAACCCGCATTCCCCTCACATGTGTAAGAGGCCACTACTGCTTACATGTTTTTTTAAGAGCAGGTTTCCCCATTTTTCTTCCACTGCAGCAATTTCTTCTTCCACTACTCCGCTGCAAAGCCATATTCAAAACCTGCAACCAGTTCCACTGCCCCCTTGAGCTTTTGATTATCTTCATCTGCTTTTGACTTCTCAGTTCAAATCCAATTTTCTAATGAACCCTGGAAGTCCTTGGGGATACGTCAGTTTGTCAGGGTAAGTCTTCACACCCGCTCTGCCAGTTCACAAAGAGCTTTTCACTAACATTCAGCCATGCCTTGGCTACCTGGGACTGAGTGCCAGTTCTGAATGAAGTCTTGAGAGCTCTTCATCAGATTGATTTAAATCAGTTTTGCCACTGCACAAAAGGGGGCAGTGTGGGTCAGCACGCAGAGCGCCCCACAAGTGAACCATCTTACAGTTGCCTTTCCTGTGCCATCCAAACACACTTCTGCTGCAGAGATTCACCGCCAAGGACAAGTCGCACCAACACTTTCCAAGAAGTTGCTAGATAGAACTTCAGAGCTTTTTAAAATTCTCTTTACTAAGTCTCCAGTTCTATCCAGGCTTGGTGTGCTGCTTCTTGGTCACCTTGATGCATCTGTCATTTGCTCTGTTAAAGTTACTTACTTTGGAAACAAGATCTTCTATGTTCCTTTTTGACCTTTACCATTTCGTTAAACTTCAGTCAAGCAGGCTTTTACAGGTAGAAGTTGTTTATTTTGGAGCCTGACGCCCTCTGCATATTCTTTATAGGAAAAGGAAGTTGCAGCAACTTGCATTTCCCCTGAACACAATCTGACACTAATAGCTTTTTTTAATCATTATTCCAGGCTTTCTTTAGCTACCATCTGAGCCAAAAAAAAACACGAGACAGAAATTTGTCAAGGCTGCATTCCCAGTTGTTGCTCTTGCACATTCTTGGCTTCTTCCTCATTCTTTGGTTTCCCTTTCCCCACTTTTACAGCACAAGACACTCACCCACCTATCACAAACATCCAGACAAACCACTTCAAATACCCTGGCTTTTGAGCGTTGCTTTTATTTTGGCGTGACGGACATGGCTCTACAACACAGCTTAAGTCTTGCAAGGTAGTAGTTTATTTCCACAACTTATGATGACCTGACAAACTACTTCATCAGAACTGGAAAGAAGGGAATATCTGAATTGCCACCACAAGTTATTGGAAATGCAAATCCTGGTTTTGTCTCGATTCACCGAGAGATGTTTCATTCCCTTAGCAATCAGGAAGAAACAGGACAGGCATAGGATCTTCTGCTGGATCTCCCCCTATTTTCTAAGAATAGGAATAGGGTAAATTTACACAGAATTCATCACACAACAGAAGGGCATGCACAAAGAGTTAGCGCTTCAAAACTGAGTAATAAAAGGCAGATAACTTCTTAAAGATTCCCACTACCTTTCATTTTCTTGACATCTGCATGTGCAAGACATCCACCACCCAGCATCTCTGTGGCACTCCTGTAATCTTGATATTGTTACCTTCTAATTGCAGGGCAGCAGTGCAGCTGTCTGCCTAGATACACATTCCTACTTTCAGTCCCATGGAATCTGCAGTTGTTCAGAGAACAGAAATATTTGGAAACTGCCCAGAGATATACGACAATTCAAAGGCAGTGTTGTGTGTAGCTCAGAGGAGAGAAGCAAAAATCTAAGCAACAAGCTTGCCATAAGGCAACATACAAAATGAATATTCTCCTTTGAGAATTTCGCCTTCAGATGCTCTTAAAGCACAGGGAGGTGAAGCAACCTGGTGTTTGGTAGAAAGACACAGAAAGTCTCTTTTTCTGACTTGAATTCATCTCACCAACTACTAAAAGAGCTTTCTGACACACAGGCTATACCCTGCATCTTATAAAGCATCGGTTGAGCTGTAACTACATAAATTTACCTCCACTAACTGCGAGATAGAATATACTGAGGTAACCTTTTCAAAAGAAAAAAAAAGGCTTCAACAAGAAGTTATTACTTTGCCTTTGCAGCTGGCTAGGAAGCTGGGCTGAGGCATAGTTCTCAGTTAACTGGGAACCTGGTTATATGCCTTAGGGCTTTTAAAGTGATTATTAGGAGCTGAAACCCCCACAGTACCTCTGCATATCACAGACACAATGCTTGCTCGCGTAGTACCATGTTACTTTCCTGATTTTGTGCCAGATCAGTGAGAGAGCTTTTATCAGAGATGAAGACACATCATGGAAAAAGTACATGAGCAAAAGTTCTGGTCTCACTCTCTCTTGCTCCCCTGATACGCTCGAAGGCCAACTCTGGGTTCAGCAGGGAGAGGAGTCTGGACTGCTCCTGAACACTTAAGGACACTCAGCTTCAGAGCACATACATACGAGGAAGAAGAGACTTAGAACTACTTACAGTTGTTTGTTTCTGCTACCCAGCCAAGAGAATCCGAGCTCCCTTTACCCCATTCACCCCAAGGCCACAGACATAATTACAACAGAGTAACATCCTCTGACAGCATGTGCCAACTGCCAGCATAACCAGCCATCCTCACTACCCACAAGAGGTCACTGCTGTTCCAGGCAGTAATATTTTTTCCCCATCACCATTGTCCTGATCTAACAAGAGCTTTTCTACCGTAGCTCTATCTCTGACGAAGGCAGATAGCTCTAACACCAGCAGATGTACCTCGGTCACCTTTTGCCATCCCTGCTTCATGCCCACAGCTTAGAAGTAGTTTCAAGTAGGAGCCTGGAAAAAAGTAGAGCCCAGTTTCATTGCACCCATGAAAAACCCAGTAGACTTGTGCTATTTGTACTGAAATAACCAGAGGGGTTTTTGTTTGGTTTTTTTTTTTTTAATCAGCCATTAGATGGCACAGTTTGGGCAAAAGCCCTTTAATGTTTTAGTTTTCAAATCACCATACAGTTCCTCTCAAGGAAGTCAGTACGACTGTTTCTTGTACTCATCAGCTTCTCAGGGCTCAGCCTGGGAGCAGTAACACACCCAACTCCCACCTTTCTCAGAGGAATGCAAAGTTAAATGCATCGCGCGTAACCTTTCACTAGCACAGATCTTCTGCATGGCCTGGCTACTCCCATGCAAGACACTATGTATATACGAGAAAATATAGCCAAGAGTTAACATAAACCAGATTCTTTGGAAACATAAAACTAACTCTGGAATCGTAACGCAATAAAAGAAAAGCTAGCCAACAGTTTTACCAGCACCTGAGCTCTTCGTTTCCAGGAGAAGATGACCATTATTTTAAGTCATCACCCGATCCTTAGATTCACTGCATCAGCTGAAAAGAAGCCAGGGAAGCATGGTTAAGAGAAGGCTTCCGAGAGAGATGAAAATCCTCATGTTTGTCCTTTGTTGCTTTTTCTAGCATGTGACAAAAGAAAAAAAAAATCTACATTTCTAGCAGTCCTGGCACAGATTAAGGACCTAATCCTTGGCTTTATTAACCCCATCTATTCCATTTTGGATAGACACTAATACAGACAGCTTCCCAGAGAGGTGGTGGATGCCCCATCCCTGGAAACATTCCAGGTCAGGTTGGACAGGGCTCTGAGCGACCTGATCTAGTTGAAGCTGTCCCTGCCCACGGCAGGGGGGGTGGACTAGATGACCTTTAGAGGGCCCTTCCACCCCAAATGATTCTATGATTCTACGGTATAGCATTAATGAAAGACATCTAGGGCTACCCAAAAAATTCCAAAATGACCGCTGACAGCCTTCATAACAATTTCTCAGTAGCTGCTCCCTCCAGACAACAACTTGAAGAATAGATTTAGAAGAATCAAGCAAAAAAAAACCACAAAGAAATACACTCCCTACGTATCTATTAAGAACACTAAGCAACAAGGCAGTCAGTTAAATAGGTGCAGACACTATAGCCAACTCTCATGTGGCTTTTTCTCAGAAAAATAGTTTTCAGAGATTTGAAAGGTTTTACTTGGCAAACACTGGGGTCAAGACAGCTCTGTAACAAGTACAACTAGGTACTACCAACTCGCATGCAAAGTCATGCTGGAAGTTTGGCACAGTGGGAGGCCATTTTATATACAGAGAACAGACTTTCTGGAAGCAGAATTGCAATATACGTAGAAGTATGTAGAGCCAATACAGTAATTTGGAGCTATAAAGGATATGTACTGTTTTCCCTGACTCTCCTTGAACGGGAAACTACAAGTTGAAATAGTTTTGTAACTAGTTAGTTTAAATTCATTCTAGGTCCTCTGGAATTAACAAATGCTATATGAATTCCTATTTTATCTTGATTATGCAAGACCAAGTACTGTGACTTTCTCTGCTGCTGCTTCTAGATTAATACCCACCATTCTCCTGCTTCCCATCCCTCTGTCATTCAACAGTAACACAGAAGTATGCCCTCCAAGGGGGGCAGGTCTACTTTCAGTGTCTGAGGACTAACTTCAGCATGTTAGCTCTTACTCCAACCTGACTCCTTGTGATTCTCAAGAGACCGAAATATGCAGTCCCCTTATCTTCTTTAACCTGACAGGCAACTGTTAGAGTAACCAATTTCCAACTGTTGGCGGGCTCAGCATTGGGATAGAAGAACGGCCCCGAGGCAAGCACGACAGTGTAAAAGCCTGCTGGATCAAGATGAGCCTGGGATTTACGCAGTCTTTTGTGTTTCATCTCCGGTGCACTAGAACCGCAGAGCAAGTGTGCACACCCAACTGCTGAAACAGGCCGCGCCCATCACTTACCAGCAGAGCACTACCCTGGACCTGTTCAGCAAGCCCAATGGCTCTTCTTTCATCAAGGAGAGATGCTTAGTCATTTGAAGCAGTTTTCCATTAGCATCAAAAGTGTGTAGTCAGGCTGCAGAGATCACACAAGAACTCAAGCCAGCAACTCTCAAAAAAGCCATGAGCAATGAGACTTTTTTGCAGGCAGAATGTAATTAGTTACACTGCTGGGATCAAGCCAGCACAATCAATGAATTAAAGTATGCTCCAAGTGTTTTTAATTTCAAATTTAAATTAGGAGATTAATATGGGATATTCCTTCATGCTGTGGCTGCATGGAGGAAAATAAAGGCGTTAATATTGTACATTCACAATGAAACAAAGCATGCCATGAACAAAAAATATTACATTTGAGACCTGGTCTTAAGGTCACCCAGCTCAGACTCAAGTATGGAGCAGTGGCACTTTGGGAAAGGGCACTTGCACAGAATACAGAGGCACTCCTTGTAGTGATCTTCATGGCAATCTTTCAATGCTATTTTTTAGCCATTCTGATTACCTATAATAAAAACATATGGACTGCATCTCATATTTAGTAGTAGGAAAATAGGCCAAGTAGCATTTTTGGGGTGTAGCTTTTACTGTAAATTGAATTGGAAGTATACATTGTACTTTGCAACAAAAAGGTCTGTCTACAGCCTGTACTTTTAACACAGATGAGGCAGGAATATAAAAGCTAATAATGAGATCCTCATATAGGAAAAGTCATGAAGCATGTCAGCTTCCTTGGTTACTGAGCTAGAAGCCTCACTCAAGTTATTTCACACAAGTTATTGGAAACAGATGAAGTGCAAAGCAGCAACGAGACAATTCTGCTGAAGGGAGAGGGTGCAACAGAGCCCAGGAGACTATTTCTTTCATTGACACAAGGACACTCAACATCTGCAGTCCAGAATGCAAATATGACCTTGAAAATGGGTTGTAAAGCATCATATACTCCTCACCCTCCTTCTTTGAAGGCAGACATAAAATACTTGTGTTAAACAATTTACAGATTCTCTCTCCGTGTGTGGGTGCTCACTGCTCAGGTCCCAGCAGACTGGTGCACAGCCACTGCCATTCATCCAACAAAGGGGTCAGCCGCGGTCACATTCTCAACGCAGAACTCCAGGACACCGCTTGGTATTCAACAGTGCGGTTTGCACCGTGCTTCTTTCCCAGGTAGCAAAGAACACATTTAACAGAGCTATTTGAAATACAGTGCCCACATATTTACAGAAACTAACTGGATGATTAGTCACTACTAGCCATCCTGGTTTAAACACTACTGCAAAGTTATGTACAGGAAACTTGAAGAGCAGAACATTATCTTATAACCTGGAATTCAAACTCACTGACTTTATTAACACAGGTGAAGTTGCTCAGCAATTACATGCTGAGTGAGACAGGTCAAGCCCCACATGTTTGTCACCCCAACCACATTCCAGTCATTGCATCAGTTCCATTCAGCCAACACCCAGCTCAGACTCAAGTACGGAGCAGTGGCACTTTGGGAAAGGGCACTAGAAAGGGAATTTACACAGAATATAAAGTGGCACTCTGTAGCGATCTTCGTGGCAAATCTTCAATGATTTTTTAGCCATTCTCATTACCTATAACACACCCTGCTTCTCCCCAGAAAGCCTGGAACTGATGGCCATCTTTGGCTCTATAATGAGGAAAAAACCTGAAAGTAAAAAACCATAGAAAAGTAGTATTTTATCAGGAAATCTGCTGTACTAGCTCAAAACAGCTGTCTCATGACAAATATCCTGCAGAGGTAGAGATGACATTTCAGAAGATTTGCAACAGAAGGATACCGTGCTCCCTTCTGGCCACCCATTATCTTCTGAGTGCAGAATTTTTACAGACAGTTCATGAAGTTTCACAGCTCCCTGTAATTGGTGCAATTATGTTCATGTCTGGAAAAAAAGGTATATAGAAGTCTGGGCAACCAAAGTCATAGCTAGGGTGCAATTATGTTCATGTCTGGAAAAAAAAGGTATATAGAAGTGTGGGCAAAGTCATAGCTAGTTTGTTTTTTTTTTTAAAGAGGGTTGGAGCTCCAGTGTCCCTGGATTACGACATCCAGCTCATGCCAAGTCAACAAGGCTGAGGGTTGGAGCTCCAGTGTCCCTGGATTATGACACCCAGCTCATGCCAAGTCAGCAAGGGCCATAGAAAAAAGACAAAACCAACTTGGTTTGATCAAAATTAATGTAAGCTCTTATCCTCTGTGTGAGTACTGGAAGTTTAAACAAGATTTAGGCAAGGCCTTTCCTTCTTCCAAGGTTGGGGTGCTCTTGCATTTCCTCCCTTAAAATGATCCCATATCATAGATTGGTCCTTTCCATAAATCCTCTTTGCCTCCCTCTTATCCAGACAAGGTAAGAAGTAATTTCTCATTACATAATTAAAATCTAATTAATTCTTCCCCAGAAAGATCAGCTAAGTTTTTAGGCACCTGACTCCATGTATTTGTAATGCATAGCTGCTGACCAGCACCCAGGAGAAATAGTGACTACAGGTGAGTTGCTCCCATGCTAGGTTCAAAGCCAAGTTAGCTTGTCATTGCCAGCCTGAAATTGAGGCTCAGATGAATTCTTAAAAGCAGGCCCTTCTCCCAATATCTAGTATTGCACTTTTGCAGTGTTACTAACAATAGCTAGTATTTTACTCTCAGGAAGATGCATGTGGGAAGGACAAAGAAAGAGCAAAGCAACTTGCAACATGATTATCTTCTCCTTTCTTCATCCCATCTCTGACCCAGTGACCACATCATCAAGCATCCTGTGGCATTTCTCACATTAGCCCTCTGCTCCATCAGACACCCCAAGCCCCAGTGCAACACAGTACACCTGGGCAGCATCCCAACCTGGACCCCCATCCACCTCTAAAGCCAGGGAGATGAGGCAGGCCCAACAATGTGTAGCACTTCTAGGGCAGTATACTTGCTGATTGCTTCCTTGACTATTGTTCACAACAACCAGCTAAGACACTGCCAAAGAAACACTCACAGCTGGCATCACTCAAGGAGGGAAGTTAGGGCAGGTTGTTCGAGCTCCTCCTCTCTTCTCATTCTCAGAAGGCAAGAGTCTGGTGACAAACAAACAGTCAATGAAGCAACTGCAGCAGTACTAAAGAAAACAACTTTCAAGGGAGAAGAGGCTCAAAACCATAAATTGACAGTTACCCTGTCCCCTACCCCCAGTCTTGGTTAAGGTTTTTAAGAATTACAAATATTAACAAGATAAACCCAGCTTACTTGTCTGCAATACATATTTATCTCAATGAGTTCCCAAGTTTCACACACCACCATTCAGGCAAGACAGAGGAACAATAAAGTGTTTCCAGATGCTTAATAGTTTAAGACAAAACTATTTAAAGTCTTGGTGGGTTCACTTCACTGCACAGCTCTGCTCCTAGGTCACGCATATGGTATGTTAGACAAAGAACTCACAGGGAACACCATCATCTGCAAAACGAATGAAAAAGGGACCAATACTTACTTGTACTAAAGCCATTTGACTTTCCCATTATACATGTGGAACAGCCTGAGATACACGAGATATGGTGTTATCTAGTATTCCTGCAATCCTCAGTTCCTGGAAACACATGAACATGTGAGGAGACAACCTTCAGGGCAAAGCAATTCCTTAACTCTTGCATCATAGCCTCAAAAAGCAGGTTATTACTCAAGGGCCTCTTGTGCAACACGAGTATAAAGGTAAAACATGCAGCATGACTAGAAGCTCAGTGGCTTTCGTCAGCCTCTAATTTCTTTCAGTCATCCCCTGGCAACACTACATCTGTATATTCCAAGACATCTAAGCCTTCTATTCCCCCTCCTAATGCATCAGGTTACAAATTCCAGAAAAACTCAGGAATTTAGTTTGTGTTTGGATAGCAAGACAGAGCTAAGACTCTCGATTCTTTCTTGCTCTCACCCTGTTTTGCTCACAATGAAACTGTATTTCATCTTCCAACAAGTTATCAGAAGCCTGCCATCCTACAAAGAAAGGCACGAGCACCAACTGAAAGGCAAGAAATGGAAACACTTCAAACTGAAAAGCAGATGTTAACACGCCAAACTCCTGGCTACCACTGAGTCTTCGATGGCCAGCATTTGGGAGCATATGTTTTTTTCAAAAGACATGCAGTAACCCAAGACAAACCTGTCGAGTTTATTGCAAGAGTCATGAGATAAAGTTCAGTGGCTTCTATTGTACAGGATAGCAGTGCAGGTGATGGCGAAAGCTCATGCCCTCTATATAATATCAAAGGAGACTGACAAAGGTGAAATGAAGTGCTGTAACTGCACACCAATCAAACCAGCACAGCAGAGCACAGTAATACCCACCAGGCATTGTGATAACAGAACAAGGGCTCCATTCCCTGTGTTCCAGGAGACAGCACCAATTAACAAATCACTTCTTGACTGTAACCTTTTCACCCTAAGGAAAAAAGCAAACAATTCTGAAACATCAAAATCAAGACTTGACAACAGTACCCACCTTCTTGCCCTGAAAACGTGTCCCACTCTGGAACTAGCTCTCTTGTTTAAACAATGACCTAATCATCCCTCCAACATTTCCCATCAGGATCAGAACAAACCAGACTATCTCAAAGGCAATTAACAGGTCAGGGACAAGCACAGCTATAGGAGAGCAAAACAATCTGGTGCAGAAGAGGAAAATACTACTTCATCTTTCGTCCTCCTCCAGGGACATACGAGACTGCAGAATTGCTGTTTTGGGAACCGTAAAACTCTCCTTTGAGCCACTAAAAATTAAGCACGACAAGGCGAGGGAAAAGATGCTTTGGAGAACAACCTTGTATCTATGCAGCAGGATAATGATCCTGCTTTTAGTTTTTCAAATAATTTTAGCTCCCCTATTCTGCTTGCTACCTAAAAGAATTCCTAGTGCCTTAGGAAAGGAGGAAACAAGTAATCCAACTGAAACTGTTTAACACTCTGGGAGAACATGGAACAGCAAAACCACCCTTGTATTCAAGCCTCACAGGAAGAGCAGCCCCAAAAAATGTGCCCAACACCCAAAGTAGAAAAGAGGGAGTGCAGCATGGCACATCAGTACCACTCAGCTGGTCCAAACAAATCCACTCAAGCCTTCAGCTGCAAGGGGCCAGCATCTTAGATGCAAATGTATGTCTCAGTTGGATCTAATCCATTGAGTCCTGCTCCTGGCAGCCAAAGATCTCAATAAATCTAGACAATATCTATTAAATTAGTGCAGTTCATTATGATTTTTATTGTATAATCTAAGATGTCAACTGAATGGGGACTGCTGTACTAGGCACTGTACAGTGATGTAGTAGAAGAATGCATCCCTACCCCTAACATTAGTGCAGAATAAACCCTAACAACTGTGTTGCATGAGACAAGATATTAATTCTTTCTCCCAAATCACTGCAGAGTCATCTTAGAAAAAGATGACCTTTCCTTAATACGGACAAAAATCTTCATGGTATTAAGTATAAATGAAATCTCATCACAGGCAAGTATGTAGGAACACCCTTCTCCACCCTTCCTATTGATGTACCTGGAGAGTACATAAGCTGCAACTCAAAGTTTTTAATTACATGAGTCTGGGACAATAGACATGAGTATTTTTTCCCCACAAGTAAGAAGTTCACAAGCCTCCTCCACAGATGTGAATGGGATTTACCATCATGTGGAGTCCAAACAAGCTGGCAATCAGGCAAGGATCCTTCAGGCTTTACAAGCCCAGTTTGAGGACTATGCAGCAAGAGCTAAGGTACAGAGAAGCATCCCCTCTGCAGAGACCTAGAATCATTTAACTGATTATTCACTGCTGTGGCTGCAGGAAAAGCAAGCATTTGCAATACTGAAGAAAGTTATCCAGCTCTTGAGTTTGCTCTTATTTCTAGATGGATGATCAGTGGCTATATTTCTAGGGATGACTGACTTGGGAAGAGCTTTGAAGTCTTACAGGGAAACCAAACAGCTTAGCTAGTTTAGCATTAGAAGAGACCTGTGCAAAGGCACTAGCCAATAAGCTGAACAACTTTTCTGCTTCAGCAGCTTGTCTAACAGCAAATCCTTTTCTCTTCCCTTTAGTTCAAATTTACTGTGATTGTGCATTTATGGAAAGCATTCTGCTTTAGGGAATTGTCTACAAGGAATTAGCCTATGAAGAAATCACTACTATAAAACAACAAGCTGATGGGTGTGGAGGATGGAAATACTCTCCTGTTACAGAAATACTGCATTCCAAGAAAGGTAGAGAGTCCTGCCAGGTAAGATCTGCAGCAATCATTTTGCCATCACTGAAATATGTGATATTATAAGCTTCATTTAATGAAGCACATTTATTTCAAGTTCATTCCCAGCACTGTGTCATCCTCCTATTGTCAACAAGCGGAGTTTTAGGCTATGACTGACCTAGTCCCAAGCCTTGAGCTAGTTCCTGGAGTTACACAAAGTCTCTCTAAAGATTTGAACAACTCCTGCTGGAAGCCTGATGCAAACAGATCCTGTCACTGGAGGCTCCAAATACTTCCTGTTTTAAAGCAAAAGAAAGCTGAGTTTTCATCTGTGAAATTTGTGGGTGAAACTCAGCAACAGGAGAAAGCTTGAATGAAAAAGATGAAATGCCAGTTTTCAAACTTCAGAAAGATTTAGGTTGGAAGAGACTCCTGGATATCAGCTAGTTGAACTGCCTATTTTAAACAAGGCTAACTTCAAAACTGTATCAGGATGCTCAATGTCTTTTATACAGGCTGCTTTAATCAACCCTGTCAAATAGACAGGGTTCTAAACCATAGAATTAGAAGTAATGTCTAGCTGAGTCTAGTATGCTTACTGGGATGAACTGGGATTCCACAGAAAAATCATCTTAAAGCTATACCAAACCACTAGTGGTGGTTGCAGAGCAAGAACAAATTCTCTTCTTTCTCCCAAAGGTGTCCTTTTATACAGGCTGCTTTAATCAACCCTGTCAAATAGACAGGGTTCTAAACCATAGAATTAGAAGTAATGTCTAGCTGAGTCTAGTATGCTTACTGGGATGAACTGGGATTCCACAGAAAAATCATCTTAAAGCTATACCAAACCACTAGTGGTGGTTGCAGAGCAAGAACAAATTCTCTCCTTTCTCCCAAAGGTGTCAGTCTTTCCTATTATGAACCTTCAGGTAGGCAAGGAAGTGTATTGCTTCTCCAAATACAGTCAGTTTTCCTGACTTATAACCTTTACAGACAGGTTTCCCTTTTTAAGAAAAGAATACATTTGATAAATTCTGACTTAGATTTGATACAAGTCCTATGATACGTGGATCCTGGGTTTTGGGTTAGTCTCTCCAAAAATTTTCAGACTAGTGCTGTATTATCCCATCTTCTACTGCAACTCCTGCGATACACCACCAAGTCAACCAGAAAATGGTTCTAGGCTATGACTCTCGGCAATGCTTATTAAGCACTGTTACTATCACACTTTTCCCTGTCACTTTCTTCTCCTCCAGCCTCCCTATAGCATCCTAATTCCCCAAGTACAGGACTCAAGCTGCTTAATCACTCCTGTTTGCCTTTTTTTTTTTATTAATCACACAGCAGAAGCCTTCCTCATGAGATGTATTGACATGACCCTAGATAGGAAAGGTATTTACCAGTTTCTTACAGTTCTGTGGTAGGAGATGATCCAGCTGGCAGTGGTACGCAAAGTCCATCTAAGCTCCCAAGTGACCCCAGCTTCCTGCTGCTAGGCCTGATATACCGCAAGCAAGCCGAGCACAGGCTCCAGAGCCGTGCAGACACCTGCTTCATAGTTCAGACTCACTGCAAACTCAGTTCCGGCTTTCTTGATATAGCCACGACTCCACCCCACGTACTGCCACCGCTCCTGCAGGCCAGCCTCACAGCTAATAAGGAAATGGGACAATACCTTTGCAGTGAGTCACAGGCTGTCTAAAACAAAGCAGAACTAAGGGAAAAGAATAGACAGTACTAGCAATTCCTTTCTGTAAAACACAGAAAGACAGGCAAAAATCACGCAAGATAGGTAAGTGACAGAATGACAGGGGAAAAAATAGAGTCTATTGAGATGGGTCAGCATTTCTACCTGTAGGACAGCTGCATTCCTAACCCTACCGATTTTCAGCTAGTCACTTGGCTCAGAGGGACACAGCCTTTTGGGTAACAGGCTATTTTCGTCTTATTGCAGGTGACAAGTGAAAAAGCAGGAGCAGTTTTGCAGCCCTGGGATCATGTTGCAGATAGAAGCCAGATCTGCTCTCAGTAGCTTCTTTCCACAAACTTTCCTGTGCCCTGAGAAGCACAAGAGCTCTCAGATATAACAGGGAAAATTCAGGAAGGAGTTCAGATTATTACACTACTGAGATCTGCAGGACAGCTACGTCTGTCCCTCAATCACCTACTCCAAGAAACAGACACAAGAATTCCATAAAACAGGGTACAGTTAAGGATACTATGAAGAAGATCTAGAGCAACCACCTCCTCCCATTCCTTAAAAGGCATCATATTTAAAATCTACTACATCTCACTCAAGTGAATCTCCGTTTGGGATCTCACTGGGCCTGACCAATATCACTGGCTTAAGCAATATTAAATCCCCACATCAAAACAAGACAGAATCATGGAATTAATGTACACACTTACTGATTTTCTCCACATACTGTGCAGTGAGAAACATGCGCGCGCACACAGTACACCAGACTTGTGCCTTCTTCCACAGCAGGGTTGAACAATTCATTCTTTGCCAGATTCAGTGCCACTTCTTCCTTTCTTTCAGATTTCATCTTTCTTTTTACATGAAGGCAAGCAAAAAAAGCCCTCTGCTCTCTGCATTCTAGTAAATTCTGTCTTTCTTCCATTTCCTCCTATAATAATAATAATTAATGAAGCTTTCATTACCTTTCTTCCCCTCTTCTTTCCCAAATGAGATCAGATATGTCCAGCCGCAACATCTTAACTTTGAATTAGTCGAGTCTCACTGGCTGGAAGAGCACCTAGAACTTGTGTTACCAAGAAAGCACATGCACTGTCATATTTCACACATTGAACTTACTGCATATTATCTCTTCCCTTTACACAATTCCCTCCCCATATCTTATCTAACTTAAGTAAAACACACAGTCAGAGTGAACTCCATCACCCAAAGGTTTAAGCAGAAGCAAAAATGTTCTGTTAAACCTGCTCTGTGGTCATTTGTCAAATACCATAAACATTGGTTCTCCCCATACAGCATCTTAGAGAAGGTCTTTAAGGAATTATCATTTTGGAGCTTACACAAACAGCTCAATCCTACTAGCAGCTGAGCTAGCTACTACATCTACATAAGTGCCATTAATTTTTGGGCAGACATGCCACAGACGAAAGTACTTTCCAGCAGTGAGTTGTGCAAAACAGTAAAGCATGGTGGATAGCCCCATCCAAGGCTGCAATGCTGTCGTACCTCCTGGAAGCAAGGCTACCCCTCCTCCTAGCTGGCTCCATTCTGCAGCAGTCAGTAGAAGCTAACACCAGGCTATTTAGGGGTTCTGCTGATTCAGTACCTTGGGAGAGGCCTGGGCAGAGTCCAGTGCATTGCAGATTTCGGAGGACTGTAAGCCTCACAAGCACCCATGACTCATTAACCAAGCAATGCACAAGCATTAGCCCTAGATCATAAACCCAGAGTCATAGCTGTCAGTAGCCCCATGTCTACTCTAGCACATCAGTCAAAAAACCAAAAACCTGTGGTTTTATAGCCTAGATGGGCCTGGGAAAGACAAGTTTATCCAACTGAAGAAGTTCCTGACCTGTCCCCCCAATTCAGCCTGCTGCGACAGAGAGGACACTGCCAGGCTGATTCATCGCAGAGATCTTACTGTCACAGCAGTTCTGTCCTTTCGGGCTTGTTAAGCTCAGGCTCCTCCTTTATCAGGACTTTGAAGGATCTTTATAGAGTCTCCTTCTGGACATGCCTCTTTTCTTCCAAGGCCAGACCCGCCCATTCATACATCTTTGCCTCAAAGCAAGAGGCCAAGTGTCAAATGAGGTCTGCTGCCTGCACAGCTGCTCCCCTTGTCTGAGCTGCATTAGGGAAATTTATATTTTGATGCCCACTACTGCATGGTCAGCCGCTCACCACAATAGCCAGAGAACTTCAGAAGAGTCCCATGCACCACTGGCTGAAGTTGTCACCATCCTCTATGCTGAGAGATGCTTACCATGCACCACCAAAGCATGCAGGGAGATGTGAAGATCAGGATTATTATCAGCATGTTATCTGGCCTTCCCATCTGCCCAAGGAGATGAGATACACATTGTGACAAAGCTGGTGAGAGGGCAATAGGATGCGTGCAACACAACAAGGGAAGTTACTTTCAGATGCTCCCCAGAAGCACATCTTCCTCCCCACGTTTCCCCTGCCCAAGGTTACTTGTACTGAAACGGTGCCAGACATTGCTCCTGCATCTAGCTTCATCCTGGCTTCTGAGGTGAATAAAGCCTGCATTTAGCAAAAGTTGACATGGGCTATATGGAGTTGCACAAGAGAAAAGACTACCATCCCTTGTAAGATGCATTTCAATCAATCATGAGTGCACTGCAATATTCTAGACAAGGTAAGAGTCTTGCATCTTAGCTGCTTCCCTTGTAAAGAGGTATAACAGTAGACCCACATCACCAGGGAGAACATCTACAGGAAGGCTCAAGTGAAAAAGATTCAAACTCCATTTTCAGCAGTATACAATTTGTTTACTCCAATTCCTCTTACCAAAGCCTTCTCTTGTCCACTGGGTGAAGGATTCTTATTTCAGGGAGAAGGTTGCTTCAGACAGGCTGGCCATAGTTTTGATGCCTGTTCACTGCTCCTACAATACATTCAAATACAGACAGAAAAAATACATAAAACTGAAGACTTGAATTCGAGCCCCACAGTTGTGTAAGCCCCTTCAGCTGAGTCTCTCTTTGGAAACAAAACAATGGCTCATGTGTTATTAACTTCTCTCCATTTGCATTGAGATGGTCAGTACCAGTTACAGGAAGGTTACTTGTGTTCTACCTACAAAATACAAGGAAACACAGACTCGCCTACAAAACAGACTAGCAAGTTTCATCATACACTCAAAATGAGATCCCAGTTATACAAGGAAACCTGCTGAGGAGAAGTCCTCTCCATCCAGCTGTAGAGAACAAACAGAAATAACTTTTTATAAAAAGGATACAGGAAGGTTACTTGTGTTCTACCTACAAAATACAAGGAAACACAGACTCGCCTACAAAACAGACTAGCAAGTTTCATCATACACTCAAAATGAGATCCCAGTTATACAAGGAAACCTGCTGAGGAGAAGTCCTCTCCATCCAGCTGTAGAGAACAAACGAAATAACTTTTTTTTATAAAAAGGAGAATTGACATCTTTTCAGCAAGAAACCACTGATGTTTTGTTTCTCATTTAACCAGCTTTCTTCCAAGGCCACAGTATAAGTGAGTGCAAGGAAAAGATTTTTCAAAATCTCTACTAAAAATCCTCTAGTTCCCCCACGCTTTGAGACAAGGGACATGCACTGGGATGTCAATAGGCCAGGACAGAAAAGAGTTCTCTTCTCATTATTGGTAAGAAATCTGCTATTGTGTCACTAACATTATAAGCCTGTCCATCCTTCATGATACAGAACAGATCGAAACAGAGCAAAGTATTAGAGAAAACAGTCAGCTAGCAGCAATAGACAATTTATAAGCTACTGTTTTCAGAGGAGTTTTTCCTTTCCTGCTCTGATCAAACTCCCTCCCCTAAAGCTTATCCACAGTTCTGTCTGTCTAGGTAGATGTTTTTGTCAGCCTTTTTAAGTGAGAAGAATGTTAAAAAGACTCACAAACCCACAAAAACTAGTTTTAGAGAATCTCAATCTGGAGTCAAAGGGACAAAGCAACAAGCATCCCTAGCATTACTCCACCAAGATCAGTGGAGTTGCCCAAGCAGTGACTTTAGCCTCATGTTACTGCTCCAACATCACTCACCCCTTAAATTTTTTTGTGCCTCAGCTTTCTGAAGCTACTTAAAATAGGTCAATTAACTTTCTCTTGGGGGACAAAACACAGTGTGACATGACAAGACAGAAGCGTGGTCACCAGAACTGCCTGTACCCAGCATCCTTGGGTCAGGTGCAGAGGGCAGCAAGTGGGAGGAAAGAAAAAAGGAGCCTTGTTATTTAAGAATCCTTTGCCCCTCTTATCCTGTTTGGAATTTAGGCTGAGTAGGTCATTTCACAGAGCCCAGAGCCAACAGTTTCACTGTGCACATGGCTTTGTTGCACTCATTAGGCCTGAAGCAAAGTCCTAGATGCAACCCCATCCACAAGATACATTACTCTGTTAGACTACAAGTTCTCCAAAGGATAGAAGAGCTGCAGTCTGACCAACGTGTCCACTGAAACTGTCAGTGTTAAAGGGTTAAGGCCCAATCTGAAACTCCCTGCAGCTGCCTGCAAATGTAAACACACATGCAAACATAACTCCTTGCTGGAATGGTGCACCTTTAACATTACTGGTTGCCAATACCATCAGTGGTAGGAGCAAAGTAGTCACTAGAAGAAAATGGCATTCATCATAACCAAATATTACATGTTTACTTTCAGGTCCTGCAAAATAACCCTTATCATCTCTGGTCTACTAAGCAAAAAAAAGCACCTCACACCACTTAAAAATTATGAAGCCAAAAACAATCAACCAAACTCACCCTCAGTAGGTGGAAACTCCAAACACACTGGCATATATACAGCTAATAAAATACGAAAACAGGCTGTACAGATGAGGTAGGTTGCTTAC